GCCGCAGCCCCAAGGCCTGATAGCTAGCATTCTGTTCACTGTGGAATAGTGGGACTGGGGGCGCGACTTGCGGAAGCCATTTCCTCTCCTCTCGGGTCAGCTCTGTGACCATGCTGCGCGAGTAGCTTGGGCACCTGGGTGGTCTCTTATGCCTTTTATTTGTTCCCCGTACAACTCCTAGAAAGCTTTGGAGAAAATGTCAGAAGCTGTTAGAGTTGCTTAATCAGATAATAGATATTACCCCAGCAATTCTACTTCTAGGAATGCAATCTAAGAAAATAATGCAAAAGAGGAAAAATCCATTAGCCCACAGTTTAGGAAAAGACTTTTAAAATAATAGAATAATTGGATACAATGAACAAAAAGGAAATGATAAGTCATGCTGATCTGGTTGAATGGAATTGTGGTAGTGAACAGAATGCTAGCTATCAGGCCTTGGGGCTGCGGCTGGGCTCAGTGGCAGAGTGCTTGCCTTCCAGGATGAGGCTCTGGGTTCGATCCTCCGCACCACATAAAAACTAATAAACAAAATAAAAGTCCATCCACAACTTTAAAAAAAAAAGTAACAAAAGAATCAAGTCAACAAAGTAGGATGCAAACTTTCCACCTAGTGCCTCTATAAAAACAGGAATCCAACTGAACAAAGACCAGAAGGCAGCTTGCAGAAAAATAGTTTATGGGGCAAGAATTTTTCTTCATTTACTAACTTTGATAATTAAGTATATCATGTTTTGTGTTTTTATTTGAAATGTACATTGTACATGCTATTCTGATCTTTTTTCTAAAGATGAAAAGTTTTGTTTATATTGTTTCCTGCATTGAACACAATGTGTGTTTGACATGAGCTACAATGAAACAATATGCTATCAGCTGATGTGGAAGGAAATCAACAAGAACCATGATGGAAAAGAAAATCAAGTCCGCTTTTATTAAAAGTGAATACAGCAGGAAGGTGGTCAAGGAAGCCCCCCGTGTCTTCCTGAAGGTCTTCCACGGACAAGGAGAGGGTCATGCAAAGACCACAAAGAACATTCCAGGCTTTGCTGTCTGGGCCCTGCTTTCGACCTACGCCAGTCATCACGGAGGCCAACTCGGTTATCATCAGCTCCATTCTCAGCAGGGTCTTGAAAAACCCTGGCCAGCAAGCGTCCACTCCAGTCCCCTTCGCAGAGTGTAAGTGAGAAGGTTGTTACGCCAAGCTCAGGGAGTCGAGGGTTAAGGAGGCCCAGGGTCGCAGCTGAACTCGCAGCCAGCCCCAGGCAGCTCAGGTGACACCCGAGTGTGCCAGTGTGCCGTTGGTGGAGCTGGTGAAAGGCGCCTGCAGGCCCTTGAACTTCATCACTCAGGACCCTGGCCCCAGCGCGCACCGCCTGGAGCCTGAGATTGTTGATGTAATGTGAGAGGGAGGAGGGGGGCCAGCCAGGTCCCTTAAATCCCAGTCACTGACACTTGAACTGGCCCCAGGAGGGGCCTTTCTTTTTTCTCTTTTAATACCTGTCACCAGACACCAAGAGGGACACATTGCCTGGAGCCTGAAAAAAGAGCAGACGGGTGGCTTGGTTAGCAGCAGGGAGTGCAGGCTTTGATGTGTGTGTGTGTGCGAGTGTGTGTGTACGAGTGTGCACACGTGTACGCTGGGGTAGAAGAGCCGGGGCCTCCCTCAAGCTAGGCAAGCCTTCTGCCCCTCAGCTGCACCCAGCCTGCAGGCTCTTTTGAGTGGGGAGAAAAGTATTCTTCCAGAACTTTAGGTGACACAAAATATGGAGATAATAACAAATAGAATTTCTTTGTGTCCAGAACTCAGCTTAAGTAAAATATCAAGTCCCCAGAAATAACTTAGCACACTCCATTTGATGGTTTTCATTCTCGTGCTTATTTTACTTTGTGTATCATCTGCCAAGAAAATGGCTAGTTTTTTTTTTTTTTTTTTTTTTTATTTTTAATTAAGTTGAAGACAATACCCTTACTTATTTATTTTTATGTGGTGCTGAGGATCGAACCCAGGGCCTTGCACATGCCAGGCGAGTGCTCTACTGCTGAGTCTTTGGCTAGTTTTTAAGCTTCATGGCAATACTGTCCCCATACTGTCCTCCTCACAAGCCACTCTTTCCCTCTTTGCTGTATGTTGTACGTGTCCTTCAGGTGTGTTCCTTTCGCTGCTGTATAGTATTCCACCTTTCAGACATGTCAGGCGGACTCGGGATTCTCCTCTCCGTGGATGGCCAAGTCTATTCCAATTTTCCATTTTCCTAAGCAGGGCTGCCGTGAGTGTTCTTGCATGAGACTCGTGCCCATGTGCACATTTCCTCAGTTCCTGTGGGTAGGTGTGAATCTGGAGGGGTGGAAGGCGGGTGCCCATCTTCGTGCCTGCAGACAGTTGCAAATGGCTCTCCAGGTGTGGGCCACCTTCCCTCTCCCAGCAGCGCCGAGCTGAGCCCACCCCACATCCAACTGCGTCTCGATGCAGTCAGACTTTTCTGTGTCATTTTTGCCAGTCTGGAAATCAAACTCGTTGTCGTTTGAGTTAGTGTTTCCGTCATTGCGAGGTGAAGGCGTGTCATTCGGCGGCATCTCAGTCTGTAGGGTAAGCAGACACCCGGGGGTGGGGAAGTTGTTCATTCTAAGACCCGGAGGTGATGGGATTTGTTGGTAGCACCTTAGCTCTGTTTTGGGGGTGCTGGCGTTGGAGCCCAGACATGCTCGGCAGGTGCTCTCCCACTGAGCCACACTCCCAGCCCCCAAGTCTGTGCCTCTGAGTCACCCTCGGGTTGCTACGCAGTGGGCGAGACTTAAAGCAGATGTCCACGTCGCATCTCTCTCGTGGCCTGTTTCGGCTCATGTCTCGATGGCAGTTTTTCCAAACTGACAGTCGTGTTAGTTTCTCGTCCACACAGCCTGCCCTCCCCTTCATGTCAGTGAGTGGGAGCTGGTTTTGATAGTGGTCATAAAAGCCCCCACGAAGCCTCCTGGGAAGGAAGAGCAGTCGAGCCTGCAGGTGGGCCCTTGGGTTTGCGGCTGTCCTCTGGCTGTCCCTCCGCCTGGGCTCCTCTCCCAGCCATGAGGCTCGGGGCTCACGTCCTGGCCGCCCCTGTACCCCTGGCAGACCTGCCTTGTCGCGAGGCCCCTGCTGACTCTGAGCTGTCTCAGGTTGCACCGGCCGGCCAGCACGCCCGGGCCTCCCTGCCCCCCACCACCCTCCCACCCTCTGGATAAGTTACTAGTTACCTCCCTTGGACTGTCACTTAGCTCTGTCTTTCCCTAATCCTCTGGAGAAAGTAACTTTGCTTTGTTCCTTGTCTTTCTACAACGATGCCTGGGGCACGTAGTTGGTTGTTAGTAAAGATGGGTTGATTAATAAGTGGGCTGCAGCTAATAAGACAGAGGGAGAGGTGGGACTGCCTGTGTGAGTCCTGGCACCACAGCGTAGGCTGGGAAGGAAAGAGGCCAGGACACAAGTGCGACTGTGCCCGCGGCTGTGAACGGCCGGCCGTCCAGATGGGTGGGGGCGGTTGGGACAGAGGCAAAAGATGTGCGCAGGAGCCATATCAGCCGTTGGGTTTGACCTTGAAGCCGGTGAGCGCTTGCATGACTTTAATCAAGGAAGAAATATACTCTGTGGTTTAGAAGCCCACCACTCTGCCCCAATTAGGAGAACTTATGGGGTGAGGGTAAAGGTAAGACTGGAGGCTGGTGGGCCACCAAGAGGACTGTCAGAGTGACCGAGGTGACAGAAGACATTATTGTATCACGTAATAGCAGGAGGATGACAAGAAGTGGACAACTTCCAGAGACGCCAGCTTTCCCCACGATCCCCAAAGTGAATAGGGTCCAAGAACTCGCCACATCTGGCCTTGGCCGGGCTCAAGGCCGGGCTCAAGGCCGGGCTTCGACTAAGCATGCTCTGAAGTAATCCGATCGGAGCGCTTTCCAAAGTGCTCCACCCACATCTCAACTCCCCTCCTGGTGAAAGAAATCTGGAGCACGGCTGCCATTATTCTACAGAGCCGCAAATAATGGAGCAGTGTGTGGATCGAACTCGAAGTTTTTGGAAGGAAGGCAGCATTTGACATCCAAGTTCCCCTGGTCTCCAAATCTTTTGTGCAAGTAAATTAGTTTCATTTGTCTCAGGGCACCTATTCCGGGCCAACTTCTTCCAACTTGCCTGCAAATGTTTCTCAGTGGTGTGTTTGAGGCTTGGCTTCGTCCCCTCGTCTGGAACAAATCTTTTTTTTACTAGGAAATAGCTAGATGATGATTGTGGACTCTTGGACCCTGTCCCCTTCCCAGCTGTTGACTCGGTATCTGATACCTTGCTCATTTGCAGGGCTAACGTGCCCCTCTTGTGCCTGTTTCTCATTACTGTGGATTCCGTACTGCAAGCCGCAGGCCGTACCCACCACCTCCCGTCTCTGGCGAGACAGTTAGGGTTAACACCTGTTTCTTCAAGACTCTCCTGAGATGTGACAGGGAGGGGCGCACACGCTGCCTCTTTGCTTACCTCCCCGCCGCGCACATGTCCCGTGGTGCAGTGGTCATGCATTCCAGCTCCACCTAAAAACATCCAGATGATGGGAAGATCGCGTTGCTTCTTTCACATGGGAAAGCCACAACTCACCCTCCTCTCGTTCAAGTTGCATTCAAATCTGATTTCCATGGCCCGTGCAAGTGGGGGCCCCCCAGCCCCGTGTCAGCTGTTGAAGTTTAGCAACACTATTTCCAAACATGGGCCAGTCGGCAGCCAGCAGGCACTAGACAGCTGAGCGCTGGCAGAAAGCGTCCCCGACACCTAGAGCAGTCCAAACAGTGACTCGTCCTGCTATTGCCAGGATAAATATGGGAATAAATGGCATTTTTTTTCTAAGCAGGAAGAATTGTCAAAACGCTTATCACTTTATAAAATATAACAGATTGTGCCTGTTCTGTTTGAAGTGTTCCAACCAATTCACTGGATTTTTTTAAAAAGTTTGGTCCCAGCTTTCACTTGTTTCTCTTCTCTGTAGGAGGCCCGGACAGCTGAGGAGCGTCCATGCTGTCCTGCCGCCTGAGCTCTGGATCCACCTGGCCGTGGTGGCCTGCGGCAATCGGCTGGAGGAAACACTGGTCATGCTCAAATCAGCCGTGCTATTCAGCCACAGGAAGATCCAGTTTCACATCTTCACTGAAGACTCTCTGAAGCCTGAGTTTGATAAGCAGGTGAATTTGCACAAATAGCGGCGTACTGTTTCCCAAGGGCATGGACAGCACGGCAGGGACTGCTTATACTGCTCTTTTTAAAATCAATTTTCTTATTCTAATTAGTTATACGTGATAGCAGAAGGCACTTCCACTCATTGTACCCAAGTGGAGCACGGTTTTTCACTTCCCGGGTTGTCCACGGAGCAGAGTCCCACCCTTCATGCAGTCCTACACGTACCTAGGGTAATGATGTCCGTCTCATTCCACCGTCTTTCCCACCCCATTGTCCGGTTCTTCAATGTTGAATGTGGATGTTGTTGAACATGGGTGCCCTATGTTGCTTCATGCTCCGTGGCGTGACCTTGAACGCTTGACCCTGACCTACTGTCCTCCGGTGTAGCATGGGAATAATTACCCCCACCTCCGACAGACACGGTGAGGACTGAATGAGATGAGGCACGTAAAGCGCTTGGCGCAAGCTCGATCCTTCTTTCTTGCAGTGTGATCAGCCTCATTCTCAACTGGAGGTCAGAGAGCCTATGTTCATGTATCTATGTGTATATTTTAAACAGCGAGCAACACGTGTTCATTGACATCAATCCAAGTAATATAAATGATAAATTAAAAGACAGAAGTCCTCACTGCCCTTCTTTCTCATGCAGGAAACAGAGAGAGTTAGCAGTTGTGTTTTTATCATCTGTAGGTGTGTGGTGTGTGTGTGTGTGTATGTGTGCGTGTTTCCATAGGTAGACACGCATGTCTGATTATACACACATTTACAAACACATATCTATATCTCCAATTTACACGTGTTTCTTTCATGCAATCATGATCATACTCTGGGTATCATAGAAATAATTTGTTTGTTTGTGTGTTTGGGGTTTGTTTGCACTGGGGATTAAACCAAGGTGCACTGAGCCATTGAGCCACATCCCCAGCCCTTTTTATTTTTCAGTCTGACACAGAATCTCACTGAGTTGCCTAGGACCTCACTAAGTTGCTGAGGCTGGCCTTGGACTTGCGATTCTCCTGCCTCAGCCTCCCGAGTCACTGGGATGACAGGCGTGCGCCACCGCGCCTGTCTGCAAAGCGCTTCTCTTTTCCACACTTAAGTCCCTGCGGGCAGTGTGGTCCCCAGTGAGCACTCAGCACCCTGGCCTCGGCCCTCTGGTGGTGTCATAGCATTTTGAGGTGTCACTGGGTCACCGTGCTTTGGCTCTTCTCATTCTGTGTTTTTAGCAGTGCATAAGAAGAGCTCTGGAGAAGCCTCCTCCCCAGTGGAGGTATGTGTGTGGCCTCAGAAGCCAAGCTTTGTTGCCCTTGAGGATTTCTACGGGGTGAGTTCTTGAGTGCTGGCAGACAGAGCCTGCTGTGTTTTGTTTCTATGGACTTGAATCAACAGTGCTGTGTCCTGTCACCAGGCTGGCCTCGCCAACGAGAAACATCAAAAACTGCATGCTTGGCAGAGAAGAGCTAACAACAGAGAGAAAGAGCTAGAAAACATGTTATATTTTCTAAAGAAAAAGATCGCCATGAGTCTTGTCCAGGAGAAGTCGGGGAACCAGCAGTCCTCGGACTTTGGGTGTGGTTGGAGGAATGACTTGGAAAAGCCCAAGTCAGAGAAGGGGTGTGAGGATGGCCCCCACGTTCCCAGTTAACCGCTCTAAAGCTTCAGCATGAGGGAAACAATAGTGAAGACAGAGAGCAAATGCCAAGAGCTTAGGCCTTAGGACGTCATCTCATGTAACCCTCCCCACGCCCTCCAGAAGGTACCCATCATGTCCCCTATCTAAGTTAGTTTTTCATCACTGTAGTGAAATACCTGAGGCTGAGTAATTTTATAAAGAAAAGAAGTGTATTTAGCTCTCACAGTTCTGGAGGTGCAAGAGTTGACACCAGCACCGATCTAGCTCTGGTGAGGACTTTGTGGCAGATGCCACCATCATGATAGGCATGTGGGGAAGGAAGAGGTCACATCACCAGACAGGAAGCCACAGAGAAGCTGGGTGTGGTCAGGCTTGCTCTTGAATAACAAACCTATTATAAGAGCTAACTTAGGAGTCCCAAGAGACTCCTTGACCCCTTCCATAGGCATGTCCCCAGTGACCTAAGGACCTCACACAAGGGGCCACATCTAAACATCACCACACCCAGGACCAAGCTCCTGACACATGAACCCTTTGGGCAAAGACTGGAGCCATGTCCAAGTGATAACATCCCCATTTTACGGGCTAAGGAACCTGAGGCGCAGTTTAAATGATCTGCATCACACAAGTCAGGTCCAGTTCACTGGCTTGAAGCTCCATGGGATTCGGCACTACTACCTCTGAACCAGCAGACAGAAGTCGCCGATCCAGGGCTCAGCCCCACTGTCCACTTGCTGTGTGGTCTTGGCCAGGCTCTGGGCCTCCCGGAGCCTTGGTCTCCCCATCTCCCACTAGGGGTCAGTTGGGTTGGTGAAAGGTAATTGCCCTCTGGTCAGGAGTGGTCGGGTCAGGTTGTAGTGACGACCACAAAGTTCAGGACTGTCTGCGCGCCTGCCGTTTGTCTCCCACAGGGTCAGGCCCTGCCACTTAGGTCTGGGATGGACGTGGACAGCGGCTGTGCCTGCATACAGCTGGGCCTGCCGGAGCATGTGGCGTCCAGGGTTCCTCGGATGCCCTTGCAGGAGAGAGCCTTTCACTCCCTAGTGTGACAGTGACAGGTATCTTCCACACACTGTGTGTGTGTGGGGGGGGGGGGGGTACCAGGGACTGAACCCAGGGGTGCTCTACCACTGAGCCACACCCCCAGCCCTTTTTATTTTTTATTTGGAGACAGGATCTCAATAAGTTACTGAGGATGGCCTCAAACTTATGATCCTTCTGCCTCAGCCTCCCAAGTCCCGGGGATGAGAGGCATGGCCACGATACCTGGCCCTTCCACATACTTCTAACTGGCTAGACACAGCCGTAGGCTCATCCCCCCGTGGGGACTGAGGATCACGTCTGTGTGTGACTGACCATGGACAAGCACAGGCTCATCCTGCGCAATACCCACCCAGTGACGACTTGTCGGTACCTGCTGAGGCTTGGAGCTGGGGTGTGGGGTGGAGTGGAAGGAAACGCAGACTTGGACTTGAATAGGATGAGGGAAGGAAAACGGGGATGGCCTCACCTGAGTGGACTTTCCGAGGAAGCCCCCTGGCTCCAGGCTCATTACCCATACCTTGTGTCCTTCCCTGCTATCCTAGACTTGGCCTGTGTGCAGTTGCATAGGGCAGAAGTGACGGTGTGTCACCTCTGAAGTGACAAAAGGCACTTCACGTTTTCATATGCGCTGGGTAAGCCAGCATGGGGGCAGAGCAGTGCCCTGGAGCCCCCTAGTGAGGAGCGAGGGCCTCTGGCCAGCACTCGTGAGGGCACCGTCAAGGCGACAGATGGCCGCAGCCCCTGACTTCATGAGAGGCCGTGAGCTACGACTACACTCCCACAGATTCCTGACCCTAAGAAACCACTGGAGATGATACGTGTGTGTGGTTTGAAGCCTCAGCTTGGGGTAATTAGTTGTAAGGCAACAGCAATCCTTCTACACACGTGTGCACACAAACATACACACACGCGCACAGTCAGACCCATGCGTAGATACGACAGAGCATGCCAGACAGTGCTTGTGACAGCTGAGGCTCCTTCAGGAGAGGACACACCCTCTGCCTGGCTCCTTGATGGGAGGTCTGTCCTAGAACCCAGCCTCCCCGCCAGACGTGTGAGTGTGAATCTAGACACTTCCAGCCCTGCCCCAGATGTGCGTGGAGTCCTGGTCTCAATCCCAGTATCAAAAAGGAAAAGTTAAGAAGATGCACAGGTGGCACATGAGCACGTGGAGGACATTCAACAGGTCATGAAGCAGTCCAGCTCAAGGCCACAGTGAGATCAGCACACACTAGTGGAGTGGCTAAAAACTGGAGCAGACACTGCACGTGCTGGTGAGGGTGTGGACACAGGCACTCCCATCCCGCAGAGCCCCACGGGAAGACAGTTAGGCAGTTTCTAGAAAGTCAGACGGAGGTTTACCACGGAGGCAGCAAGTGCAATCCAAATATTGACCAAGGAGTTGGGAACTTGTGTTCCCAGAAACCTGCACACAGATGCTCACGAGCCTCAGTCACGATTCTCCCCACATGGAAGCAACCAAAATGTCCTCAGTTGATGACTGCAGGAATAAACTGTGGCGTGTGCATACAGTGGAGTATAAGTAGTAAAAACCAAGTGAGCTGTCAGGCTACAAAAAGCCACCTAGAACCTCAGTGTATATTTCTAAGTAAGAGAAGGTAGAATGAGAAAGCGCCACACTGTGCCACCCTACCCACGTGACGTTCTGGAAAGGTGAATCTGGGAGCTAACAAGAGGTCAGTGACTGCTGAGAGTTCAGGGGGAGGGAGAGAAGGAAGGTCAGGTAGGGAGGACAGGAGGTTTAGGGCAGCGACGCTGTTCTGGGTGCTACTGTCATGGGGGCTGTGACATGATGCCTTGCCCAAGCCGTGGAGTCACCACACAAAGCAGGGACCCTCCATAAAGTACCAATGTACACTACGACTTAGCAGTGATTACAATTGATGATGATGACCTGATTAGCTAAGAGGGATTATAGTAGCAGTGACAGGTGGGTGTTGGTTCATCCATTGTGACAGTCACACCACACCAGAGCAAGATGGCAGCAGTACTGGAGACCATGGGCAGGGACCGCGAGCAGCTGACGGGGACTCTGTGCTTCCTGCTCAGCTTCTCAGGAAGCATAAAACTGCTATGAAAACAAAATTTGTGTTGTAAAATTCATTTACTTAAAGAAAGCATTACATTTCATCTACACGGAACATTTGAAAGAGCCCAGGACTATGAACTTAGACTGAAACTCCACCACTACCTCTAGAGGTGTAAATGTTGGGGTGTGCCTCTGTCCTCCATCCAGATTGACCTCCACATGTGAAACACACGTGCGCGTGTCTCCCTGACAGGTAGAGCCATGGCGCAAGCACTTCTGCACTTGGCGTCCCCAGATGGTGTTTCCGCGTCAGCACACACAGGACCTCCTAGTTCTAATTGTGCATTACCCCATCATATGACTGTGTCATACTCCGTCTCCCAGTTCCTTGCAACTGGACAGTTAGACTGTCCCCACGCTGCGACTACCACCCAGGTCGTGGTGAAAGCCGCTGCCCCTGCGTGCATCGGGACTGTTGTCACCGTGTCCAGATTGCCCTTGTGCAGGTGTGCCCTCCGCTTGGCAGGGATCTGGAGCCAGTTTCCCAGCTCCCCCTGACAACTGTGACTGCCATGTCAAATCCTCGCGGTGCCCATGGGACAACCTGCTCTCTCATTTGGTGAGCGCCAGTCGTGGCGCCGAGCCTAGCCTCTCTAGGTAAATCCCGGGCAGTTTCCGCTTGGCCTTCCAGAAACCTCCCAGGTATTTTCCGTATTTCCTGGCGTCTAACCGTCCTCCCTGTGCCTTCCGTCTCTTCCAGTTACGACAGTGGCCTGACTCATATACAAAGAAGTTTGAGCACAGGATCTACCCCATCACCTTTTCTGTTGGAAACCCTCAGGAATGGAAGAAGTTGTTCAAACCCTGCGCTGCCCAGAGACTCTTTCTTCCGGTAGGAACACCTGTTTTTAATAAGTCGCAGCTTGGGAAAACGTGCTCTTGGAAAGTTGGAGAAATCTGCTGAGATGTGTTTAGAAACGTTGAACTTCCAGCTAAAAGTGTGTCTCCCTTGGATTCTGTCCTTGATGCTCTGTAGGCTGCTGAGTGTGGAGGGAGGGTCCCTGTGTTCCAGGGGTGTCTTCCCCGAGACTGAGGGTCTGAGAGCACCGGAAGCACATTCAGGGTCTTCGTGACTAAGGCTCCTCTGTGGACGAGCGTGTCAACCTGAGGCAAGGCCCGGGTTTTCTGAGCCTCGCTGTCCTCCACGGGCTCAGCACACAGTCAACGCTCAGCGTCACCTTCTGTCATTGTTCTCTCTACGACAATCACTGGCGGGAGACGTAGCCACACAGTTGTAGCTCACAGTGGCCCCAGAGCTCTGGTGCAGGCTTTCCCTTCTGAAGTTTTAAATGGTGTGTTTTCTAAAAATCCTAGATAGAAAAGCCAGTTAAGTTTCACCCAAACGGGGCAACTTTGAATCGGGCATGGCAGCCTTCATATCTATGGGGCCCCTGCCTTCCTTAAACCTGTGATAATCGCCCGTCAGGTGCCAGGCCAGGGGCACCAGGAGACAGCCAGGGCCCTACTGCCTCAGCGTGCTTCTGGCAGGGCACTGAACAGGCTATCGGGGGAGTGACCGGCTGAGGAGGATGTCGGTAACACGGGGGTGGGGAAGAGGTCACAGAGCAGCAATGCATATACTGAGACCTGAGCCAGGTTCCTGGGTGACGGGACTGGGGAACGAGAGAGGGGAGGGTCCAGGAAGCAGAAGAGCGTGCAGAGGTCCCAGGCCATCAGCCCTGCGGGTGGGTCTGCTCTTTGTCCTCGGGGTGGGAAGCCCTGGGGTGACTTCTAGCGCGGAGGTGGGACGGCCTGCCTGGGCTTTAAGAGGGCACCCTGGGCACTGCAGTGTGCACAGCTGGGCTGGGCTGTGGAGGGTCTAGGGGCATCCAGGACCTGCCCGAGACACAGGACTGATCAGGCCTCGTGATGGGCTCCTCTAGGGCTGAAGGAGAATGAAAGGGACAGGATCTCACCCTGGATGCCCCCTGGGCAGCTACTTAATATTGGAATTGCCAATATCTAACCATTTATGACACACAAAAAGGCGATTTTTCAATATTGTCCAGCGTACGAAATGCGCGCTGACCTCATTTAGAGGTGGCAAAGACTGCAGACGAGCACCTTAGGTCAAGGGGGAGGTGGGTTTAGTTGGGTCCCATTTGGTTTGGAGGCTGGGGACGGCCATGCAGGGGACTCTTCCGTGTGCTGGTCTGGAAACCCTGGGTGGCGAGTGACCCTGTTCATGGTTCTGACTCAGGGACCAATGGAAGGACAAAGCCTGGTGAGTGTGCGGTTGGTGCTGCCTGCAGCCCATGCTCACCCAAGCCCACCCACGCCCACACGGCCTGGCTCACGTGCTGCAGACCCTTCTCCACACTGTGAGGAGGGGTTAATGGCACAAAATGGGGGTGAGAAGTGGCCACCTCAAAATGGGACTGCGAGCTCTAGGTGGGTGATGGATAGACTAATTACCATTGGAGAAGACAGAGGACATGTTAGGTTTCTGCTTCTTATGTCTATTTTACGCAAGAAGAAACATTAGAAAGTCAAAACTAATGTTGGGAAATTGTTTCCCTGTGGGATCCAAAGATTAGCACCCCAAAGGGACCTCATTTGAATCTTCTGTGACCTTGAGTCGTGATTTTATTACCACAGTTTTAAAAACTCACCATGAGACAGTTTTCATTCATTCCCAGTTAAGTAAGTGTTCCCTTTTGAATGACAAATGGGTGCTGGCATTCCTTATCTGCTTCTGATAGTGGAAACTAGCCCTGCTTAGAAATAATAAAGAGAGATTGCACTTGACAGGACATTCACCTTCCTGCGTGCAGTCCTACCCACAGCACAGATCCTGAACGTGGCATTTCAGAGCATTACCCAGCTGCATGGATCCTCATGATAACTTGAAATAAAGTCTAGGTCATGTTTCCCCTGAAATTTGCCACTATAAAACCAAATAGGGAGTGCCTCTCAGGTGGCACAGGGGACGTGGAGATCCTAAGATGCAGACACGTTAGCAGTGGCCAGTGGGCCGAGGGCCATTGTTGGGCCCCTTTTCTAAGGTGCTGCTGTCTACCCTAAGCCTGCAGGAGACACCCTTTCTCAACCAAGATTTTGCCATCAGAATAATATCAGAGCACAAGTCTTCTGGTCCCAAACTTGTCACGTTCTCAAGTGTCAATGGGCTTTGGATTCTACCACTGCATGACCATGGAGTCCGGAAACGCCTACTCTGAGCCCGGAAGTAGGACCATCCTCAGTGAAAGTCCACTGCAGGTGGCTTGAGCTCTCCAAGACGCACAATCCTTTGAGGAAGTTCAAGACTTAAGGTATTTAAAACAACGTGCCAATTACAAATAAACCACACTTGTTCCTGAAAATGGGTCCTGGAAGCCCTCACCCTCAGGAAGGCCAGGAGCCCTTTGTTTCTATAAGAATGATTGAGTTTCTCAAATCCAATCACCTTTCCCTCATTTAATGAGAAATGGTGAGATTTTATAATAGGTCTACATATTTTACTACACATTGTGGCCATTAGATCACACAGATTTCTCTCCTGAATAACTGACGTCCTCTGGGGGTCCTAGAGATATTTACAGTGTAATAGAGATGGCTGGGTTGCTCAGAGACTTTATTGGCACGTGGCACCCCACGTGGTCATGTCGTGGGGTGAACTGCTACTCACACTTCACCAGGGACAAAGACTTTTCCAAGCCAGGTTTAATAAGCTCTGAGATTATACTAATGGGTGACATCATTCCTGCTGCTATTGCTTGACACGAGTGTCCACATTCAAGGAAGGAGTTAGGGAGGAATATTACCCAGAGACACAGGATAAAATCGCTCCTAGCCTTATTGGAAAATTCATTATGAGAGTTCTGACCCAGTATTTCTAAGAAACTTGTCTCATTCTTTAATATTTTAAAGTAAACAAAAATCTCATGTTACCTATATTTTGTATATCACATTCAAGGCCACAACACAGAATCTCCCCTTTTTTGTTAAAAGGGCCTGTACCTGGTTTCAGTGTTGGGAAAGCTGTGTGCTTGCTACGGGGGCTCTAATAGGTCAGCTGTGGGCTGATGGAAAAGGGAGGCTTGTGGAGTCCTCAGACCTCTGTATTATTACTATGTCTTACCTCCCATTAGCAATTAACATTGTAACATCTCTGGAACCAACACTTTAGATAGCAACAAAAATTGACAGATGTATAAAAATATATTAAAAATCATTTTTAAGAGGAATACCATGTAGTTTTTTTTGTTTTGTTTTGGTACCAGGGGTTGAACTCAGGGGTACTCAACCACTGAGCCACCTCCCCAGCCCTATTTTGTATTTTATTTAGTAGGATCTCACTGAGTTGTTTAGCATCTCACTATTGCTGAGGCTGGCTTTGAACTCCTGATCCTCCTGCCTCAGCCTCCCGAGCCACTGGGATTACAGGCATGCGCCGCTGTGACCGGCTAGAGGAATACCATGTAGAGTCATCATGAATGATGTATGTGTTTTCATCAAGCACCAAGAGGCCATAAATTATTGGGATGAGATTAACTACCAAAATGATCATGTGAAATGAGCCTAGATACCAATTTTGTTGAACAAGCTTTCTACAATGTAATCATTTACTTACACATTATTGTTTCAGTCAGCTTTTTTGTTGCTGTGACTAAAGGATCTGACCAGATAAATTGTGGAGGAGGGATAGTTTATTTGGGGGCTCATAGTTTCATAGTTCTCAATTCATGGACAGCTGGCTCCATTCCCCGGGGAGCTTGAGGTGAGGCAGAACATCATGGCGGAAGAGTGTGGCAGAGGGAAGCGGCTCACATGATGATCAGAGAGCAGAGAGAGACTCCATCCTCCAGATACAAATATATCCCCCAAAGACAGGCCCCCAGTGACCAGCCTCCTGCAGCCGCACCCCACCTGCCTCAGTTTCCACCCAGTTAATCTCATCAGGGGATTAAATCACTGATTGGGTTAAAACTCTCACAACCCAATACTTTCTCCTCTGAGAGGTGAGCTTTTGGGGAACACTAAATCATAACACTAGTAAAGGAAGGACATTCAGAATATTAATTAACTCTTGATTACACATAAGAAAAACTCAAGGCCAGCTAACTAAGCAAAGAAGGAAACTCATTTTTTGGCTTACCTCGGCTGCACGCAGGACTCAGGGTCCTCATGTACCCAAACGCAGTGGGGCCACCTCTCGGTGAGTGTGAAGCAGAAGATAAAAGTCTGGGGAAAGATTGCCCCCCTGGAGCCCCCTGCAGAGCAGTGCTCCACCAGAAGAAGGCAGCAGGGGGTCATGTGGCACCACTCACCTCCACCTTAGAGACAGGCACACACCTGAGCACGCCCAGCTCGGGGTCACAGGTCAGTTCTCAGCTGGAGGTCACAGAGCACACCAGCAGGCCAAAGTGTGACAGACACACTCTGGGGAGCTCAATCCCGTGTTATACAACTATAAGGAGCCAATGGACACCTAGAGGAAACGCTGGAGTGGCTCCGTGATCTTGGACGTGACAGCTGGATCTTTGTGTGTTTCTCCGAAAAGCTCCAGCAAAGCAAGGGACACATGGAAGGTGCCTGAATGTAGCACTTTCCAGGAAAGGTGCCTGTCCCACCCAGCGGCTGACAGCCAGGGCGCTATCTCTCAGTCCCTTGCAGGGCTTATTCAAGGAGCATAATAATTGTGCGAGGCAGCCTGAAGCCCACAGTCCAGAAGCTTAGCAACGGCAGCAGGAAACAGCATGGCAGGAGCATGTCCTCTAAAATGGTGACGCGAGGAACTCTGTGAAACACGTATACTGGTGGAAGTTATTTTTTAACCAGCTGTCTAAATTCTTTGGAAATTTCCCTAAAGACCTAAGCAAATAAATGCAC